ATATATATATAAACTCAAGATAAACTCAAGATCAAATTCAAATTCAAATTCAAACTAGATTAATCAAGTTAAGCTGAAGCCCAAACCCAAGCCCACTAGGTACCAGTTTACACCCCTCCGTCAGTACGAGAATCAACCCCTAGCTGAAGGAAGACTCCACTTCCTCTGCTGGTCTCTCTTTCATCGACACAGCAATGGTGGCTCCGGTCGATCCGAAACCCGGGGGAGCCCTAAGAAACGCCTTCGCCGGCGTTTTGGGTTTCTTTATTCTTTTTCTCATAGGTGTCCTCGCCTTCTCGATCCGCCTCTTTTCAGTAAGATTGATCGCTTGCCCGCCCTCAATTTTCGGACGTTTCAATTTAACAACTGATCCAATCTATATATCTATTTCGATTAAATCAACGGAAAGCTTTAAATCCTTGACTATTAATCTAGATTTGTAATGCTTCGTGGATTATTGTCTCAGGTTATAAAGTACGAGAGCGTGATCCACGAGTTCGATCCATATTTTAACTACAGGGTTACTCAGGTTTGATTTATTGCAAGTGCCCTCCTTTCTTTCAAGTGACTGAAACAAAGATATCCTTCTCGTTTTTCCTCTCAAAGTTAGGTTTAATTAACAGCTGCGATTATATACCTTTCTTTGACGTAATAAAATATCCATGAAACGAGTCATCTGGAGCTAATTGAAGTGATCGCCCGTAGTTTTTCTTAAGCGTTAGGTGAATGCCGACCAACCTATCACCTCTTTGACTGTGAAAGTCAATGCCTGATTGCTGTTAGAATCCATTTTTGTCGCGTTGAACAAGAGTTAGAAGAATCGTGGTATAGAGTCTATGATAGTGCTCTGTACGTAACTAAATTTTGCTTTTCATATTTATGTAAAAGTCGAGTACACTTTTTCATATGTAGGTAAGTGGGTAAGTATCCAAAAATTAAAGTTTAGGTGTTGATATGCAAATACATATGAATTAATTGGTATATACGTAAATCTTATTTTCATATTTCATGATGTCTCTTTAGTCCTGTGGTTGATAATAAAGTATTGTTTTAATCACGTGACTGAATTTTTAAGTCCTAAATATGAGTCTGATTGCTACTGTTTTGGATATGGTCACTAAATAACGGATGGTTAATTATGTTGAATGTGTTTATCTCATTAAAGTTTGAATGAGAACATTTGTTGATTTGGGTACAGGTTTTGGGTTCATTAAGACTCTAAGAATACATTAAGAGCATTAGCTGCTTAATCCATTATTTTACTAATCACGTAAAAATTAATAGTTTTCTAACTCATTTGGACTAATTTTTCTAGGGACATTTACGTGCGTAACACACAATTCTCATGCATTTCCATATCTCACACCTAAGATTTCATATTTACATACACAGCACTTTAGTGTTTTAAACCTTTCCATGAAAATTGGTTTTTTACTTTTTGAAAAGTGTTAGTAGTGCTTTTTTTATGTGATAGTAAATATTTGAGTGGTATTTGTGTGAATATGAAAGTTTAGGTGTGAGGTATGTAAATACATAAGACTTGTGTGCCTTGTGTGCTATGTATGTCTATGTATGTAAGTGGCTTTTTTTCCAATCAATGGACAAAACTATAGTTTGTGGTCAATTATAGAAATTTAGGTTTAAATTCCTTTGTTTTTATTGCAGTTACGATAGTTTCTGTGAATGGTTACCTTGAAAATTTACAGATGCAAATTTATTCAAATTTAGGATGCAAATTTAGTCATACATGCGGCTGATCCTTAAAATTTTATTATCTAATGCCTTTATTGTATTAGCTTTTTCTTCACTGTGAAATCCGACTGCTTTTTTGTTTTTCAGTTCCTTACCAAAAATGGAATTTACGAGTTCTGGAATTGGTTTGATGATCGGACCTGGTATTGTGTCCAATTAAATGTCCAGAATTATCCTAGAATTGCATTATATATTTAAAAATTGCATTTTGTTAGATTCATCTGAATTTTTTTTTACTTAGGTATCCCCTTGGTCGTGTTATTGGTGGAACTGTTCATCCCGGACTAACACTTACAGCAGGCACAATGTGGTGGTATGCTTTAGATTTAGCAACCTTGTGGATTGATAGGAATTCCTGCTTAAACTTTGAAGGAAGATTTACATAAATACCCCTCAATTCCTATGCATTTACATATCTAATTCCTAAACGTCAATTTTTACATCTATGTCACCTTAACCATGTATGAAATTGTGTATTTTGCTTGTTAAAAGTTAAAATTGCGGTATTTTTGATGTATATGAAAAGGATTGGCGGTATAAATGTAAAAAACAAGGTTTAAGTGTCAGACATGTCAATACATAAGAATTGGATAGTATGAATGCAAACGCCCCAACTTATTTTCATAATGTTCAATATGTGACTATTTTTTTTATTATTTGCAGGATACTTAATTCTCTCAACATTCCTCTTTCAGTTGAGACTGTTTGTGTCTTCACTGCACCAGTTTTCTCCGCTTTTGCGGCCTGGGCTACATACTTGCTAACAAAGGTTATCTAATGAATCTTTTTTTTTGTAATAATTATTTTTGCACCTTCCTATTACAGCTGTAATTATCCTTATTGTAATTGTTTATATTTTTAAAGCATTGATATTTTTCTTGCAGGAGGTTAAAGGCATTGGATCTGGATTGACTGCTGCAATTCTCTTAGCACTGGTAAGGGCACAATGAACTTTGTGTTTTAGCTCCCATTTATTCTAGAAATTTCATTATGACACTTCACATGCGAACCAAAGACTATCGATAACTTTCATTGGTTAAATCAACTAATTGTTATCTTTAATGAAAGAACTATATTATTGGCTCATGTTTTATGCATGCTTATGAGGTTGTTTAGTATAGTGACTTTTAATAGGATTGATCACCGGATTTGCTAAATCCAGCCAAACGGCAAAATGAAGGAGTTCTATGGATTTACGAAATTTAAAGATTTAGTAAATCAAATTTTATCTTTGATTTGGCCTAAATTGGATTTACTAAATCCAATGGATGGGTTGATTTACGGATTTTCTAAATTTTGCTAACTCTAAATCCTGCTTGCAGCCAAACAACCTCTAAGAAAGTCAATGAAATTTTACTCATTGTATTTATCTATATCAGGTGTGATCGATTTAGATATGTCAGGTCTGTTGTTCAAAGCGATGATGATATAGATGGGTATGTTAATAGTAGAATTCAAGTTGGTTGGTTGAAGTGGAGGAAGGCTTCGGACCTTTTGTGTGATAGAAAAGTACCGCTCAGACTAAAAGGAAAAATTTATAAGACGACGGTGAGACCTGCAATGCTCTATGACACTGAATGTTGGCCTTTAAAAGAGAAGCATAATGCTAAGCTGATGTTGCCGAGATGAGAATGATTAGGCGGATGAGTGGCTTTACACTTAGAGACGAATGCAAAATGAATATATCCGTCATAGGGTCGGTGTAGCTCCTATGACGAACATAATTAGAGAAAGTCGTCTTAGATGGTTTGGTCACATTAAACGTCGACCATCTGATGATCCGACTAGGAGAGTAGATATTTTTTTTAGATTCGACTAAGACAGATGTAGACCTAGGAAGACTTGGACTTATTGTATAAAAAATGATCTTAATTTATTAGAATCAAATGAAAATATGACACTAAATAGGACGCAATGGAGAAAAAAGATTCATGTAGCCGACCCCACGTAGTGGGGTTTAGGTTTTGTTGTTGTTGTTGTTGTTGTTCTATTTATCTAATAAGTAACTAAAATGATGATTTTAACTTGCAAACTAATGCTCTGTAAATAATTAACTTATTATTTTCATCTATTGAATATAATTATATTTATTCTATGCCATCAATGCGACACTTGCATGTTAAAAAGGTTGGATTTCTATTCTATGTCAGTCTTTGACATTTCTCATTAAGCATGGGGCCGATGGTCTGTTTTTCATGGCATTGATAAATTTGCTTCCAAGAATCTTGAGATATATGACGTTTTAGCAACAAAGGTTGCTGATAAATGAGAGATGAAAACATTGAAGGTGCACGAAGACATTGATTGAAAAAGTTATGGACATGTGTCATGCTGTTAATGTGTAATGAATTCTGTTCGAAGGCTAAGAATGAAGATTCTTAATGGAACAAAACTTGGTTGGAAGTTAAAATATTTAGTTAACATCCACTAATGAAAACTCTAGTACGAACGAGAATGAAGAATATATTTGAATCATAATCTCAACTATGCTGATTATGCTAATGAGAACTTGGGAAAACTTGAGAGCGGAACTAATTTTAATATACCTTTATAATGTAACAATTGTACTTAGAGGCATTCTTAGATTGAATTAACCCCTTTTTTCTAGTTTTCAATAAGAAAAAAATCTTGTTTGTTTTACGTCCATTAATCACTTTTACTTGATTGGCCATAAAGCAGTTCTCATTCCAGTGCTTTGCGCTAGTTATCCTGGATTTTTATTTTGTTCATATTTATCTTTTATTTTTTTGGCTAATCGAATTCATGCTGTTTTTAATCTAAATTATTAGATATTTACCTATCCTTAACTTCCACATAATGTTTGTTAATAAGTACCTTGAAATTCATGGAATACAAGATATGCTTGGAATAAGGATGCATTAAATCTATATTCCTACTGGATGCTTGATCGAGATTTTAAGTTTTTGTTATCTCTTTTGCCCACTGACTGCATTACGAAAGGTGTTCTTAGTGCTCGGCATCACCAACTAAGCATTTTTTTTGGCTTCCTATAAGTTACACATCAAAGTTGGATGTTTTGTGAAGGGCAAATTTGGATGTTATAGGGCCCACTAACACTACAACTTGTTGTAATCTCTTTCTAAGTAGAAAGCGTTACTTTTTTTTGTCGTACAAGTAATAAAGCCTTAAAATATAAGAGAGATTAGGGTTGTACTGCGGTGTGGTGTCAAATCCCATGTCCGAAAGAGCCTACATCCTGACAACGTAGGGTATGATGAAATAAATTGAATATGTTTTGTATTCTAAAAAAAAAAAGTTTGCAAGTAATTAGAAAAAAAACTTTATTTCATAAATAATAGTCCACCCGATACAATTAAAAAAATGAGATAGCTGAAAGAAACTAAACTAAAAATAAAGAAACGACTACCCAAACTCAGAAAGACAATATAATAATTACTACGAAACTGAAAAAAATACAAAAAATAATTCTAAAATTGGAAAGTTTTCTCTTATGGGGATAATCTAATAAGTGGTTTAATGAAATCTGCTATATAAAAATATCAATGGGCGAGTTTGACAGTCGAACTCTGTAAATAACAACTGCTTCTCTGAGAACCTGTTGGTCTGGCTAGCCATAATAAAATATTTTAATAGTGACATAATAATATTGTAATATTAGTTATATTTAATGCATCACAATTAAAACACATGAATATAATTACAAAACACGTACTTGTATTTATAAATAATTGTAAAACTGAAATAATGAGATTTACTACATCAAAGATATAAAAAATAATATTAAAATCATGATAGATGAACTATTAAACACGAGACTAAGCTTCAATAAAACATGATTAATTACACATTAAAGTAATCATGAACAAAATTTTAAACTACTGCAAATATATGAACGTAACTCAGAAGGTACGGATGACATACCTACCATTAGCTAGGAATCTAATACAATTAGCAAGGATAACACCCTAATTAGGAATCATTCATTTATCCCATAATAAAGAACAATTACTTACCTTATGGTGGCCAAAATGATACTTTTAAGTATTTCAACAAATTCAAGTAGTGTTGTCCAGTAGTTTTACATAAATTACAATCTAAAATATAAATAATTTTTTGATTAAACCTTAATTATTTATTAGGTGTAATGTAATTAACATATATTATTATTATTATTTTATTTATATTTTTTAAAGAAAGTATGAACCTATTTAAAATTATCTCTACTTTAGATTGACACAACAATCAAATAATTAAAATAAGATTACTCTATCCTTCCATATATATTTATATAAATTATTTATTAAAAACTATGGAAAAAAATAATTGCTTTAAAAGAAGAAATGAGGTAGGGGAAGCTTACAAAACTTGATTGACAGAGAAAGGAGGGAGAGGGGTAGCTGCTGCAAGAGAAGGGAGAGGAAGAAGAGGGGTTTTGGTGGGCTCTTAATGGTACAATCCTGTTGTTATCTTCACCACTAGCTTTGATCACGACTTATCGCGAGGGTTTGGAGCTTTGGTGAACTTGGTATGCCACAATCCCGTCGTTGCCTTTCTAACTAGCTCTAATCGTGTTGCATTGCAAGGGTTCAGACATAAAGGCGATGGTTTTGGGAGAAACTGAGAGAGACCAAAATGATGGTTGTAGATGAGAAATTTGCGGCACTCTAAACCTCCGTCTTTCCTAAATAACTGGAAGAGGCGGTGGGAGAACAATTGAAAGCAGTAACAAAAAGCTTCGAATCGGGGAAGTAAGGAAAGTTGCTATTAATGCAAGCAGTGTGAGCGGGAATTTGGGGAAAAAAAGGAAATTTTCGATTCTCACATGCTACTCCCTTATACCCGAGTTTACATCGTAATCCTCTATTGGGAATACTATAAGTATAACAGGTATGTGTTTTTTCAATAATAATGTCACAATCATGAAACAGTTGAGGGACCGACAAAGATGAATCATATGACACAATTAATGTAATATGTGACTGTAATGAATAAATTAATTTACTAAATACAAATTTTTATGAATGAATATGATGCCCTAAAGTTAAACAATACACGTGCCAGTTGCTTTTAATTAGAGATAACACCTGTCATCGCATTAGGAGTTTCATGGGTTTTCTGTTGACTCATAACAAATGCTCAACGAGGAATTGTTTGTTTGGGCTGTTCTGGAGCTTGACATTGTTGAGACTAATACCACACCATTGAAGGCTGATATGTTGGTGGTGCTATTGGTTTTGTACTCCAGGATGATGTGAATGATACAATTGAGGCACAATCACTTGAAATAATTGCATAATAATACTAATTTTGCTTGAAACTCATTAATGAGTCCCATATTAATGATCATTCGGTCTTGATCTCTGGCTATAAATAGATTCTTTTCGAAGTTAAATCAATTGTGCATTTAACATGGGCTAAATAAGGACCGAAACCATTGAGATCTGTTGTTGAAGGATGCGGTTTGATGGTGTAGAGAATGATTGTTATACTGGCTGAAGTTTTTGGTATAAGTTTGAGCTCCGAAAATGTTCACGGAAACAATAACATTGATTTTGCTAGTTTCTAGCATTATACTACATAGGAAATGCCCGGAAGCATATGAGCTTGACCAGCGGATCAATGGTTTTTACATATGTTCGCTGATTATTTTCATGGCTTATAGAAGTTGGTCATCATGTTTCTCTTTTTGCATGAAATAAAGAGCAGGCATACAATACATCTTATGACATTCTAGACTTACGACAAATACAATTTTCATCAATTTTAGGTCATCAGATGATTTCTTTGATGTTGTTCATTTGAGTTTTGTATTTCATTTTGTAGAGTCCAAAGGCGTGTGCTAATTACATGTATTCTCGTTTTCTTTCCATTTCATGTACAGGTCCCCTCTTATATCTCACGTTCTGTGGCTGGCAGTTATGACAACGAGGCTGTAGCGATATTTGCTCTAATATTCACCTTTTATCTTTATGTAAAGGTAATGGTGGGTCCAGAAATTGGCACTTTATAGTTGATGAATCCATGAATTCTATTGCTTCTATGCTATTGATAAATGGCTGTTAAGTTAGAGAGTAAACTTATGTTTGCTGATGCTTTTGCACCATGGTTGCTGTTCATGTGCAGACGCTGAACACAGGATCACTTTTTTATTCCACCTTAAGTGCTTTATCGTATTTTTATATGGTAAGCATATAATGTTCATGCTGCATTTTATTGTTGGGATATTTACATAGGTAGCACACAATTCTTATGTATTTTCATATCTCATACCCAAACATTCATATTTACATAGTAGCACTTTGATGTTTTAAACATATGCATAATTAGGTTTATTTAACTGTTTAACAGTTGTAATAGTACTATTTTTGATGTGATATTACAGATTTGAGTGCTGTGTGTGTAAATATGAAAGTTCAGGTGTGAGAAATGTAAATACAAAAATATTTGTGTGCTAGGCATGTGAATGCCCCTTTATTGTTTATTGAGTATACTGTGTATGTAAGTTGTTTTCTTTTTTCAGGTATGTTCTTGGGGAGGCTACACATTCATTATAAACCTAATTCCGATGCATGTTCTTCTATGTATTGTGACCGGTCGCTACTCTTCTCGATTATACATTGCATATGCCCCTCTTGTGAGTTGTTTTTGAGTCAAGTTTTATTTTGGCATAATTCCCAATTCTTATCAATATTTGGTGAGTGAAGATTAGCACTGGGTAAAATTTTCCGTATACTTCTCTGTGTCTGAACAGGTTGTTTTGGGAACACTTCTAGCTGCATTGGTGCCTGTGGTTGGTTTTAATGCAGTGATGAAGTCGGAGCATTTTGCATCCTTTTTGGTATGTTTTGCAGTGAGGAATAATACAAACCATAGAACTTGCAATCTGAATATTTATGAAATGAATTCAAAATTGCTCTCTTATTCTGTATTATATGCCATGTTTGACTGAAGATTACCAGTCTAATATGTTTGTTCGATGAAATATTTAATTTGCAGGTCTTCATTATTATTCATGTCGTGGCCTTTGTTTATTTTATCAAAGGGATTCTTTCACCGAAGATGTTTAAAGTGGCTATAACTCTTGTTTTGACCGTTGGAATGTAAGTGATTTGTATATCAACCATAGATATATATTATCTAACAATTTATCATCATCATTGTCATCTTTTTGGTAATAACCGCAATTTAAGTTTTTGAGGTTGACTGTAGAAATTCTCTTTTCATTCCTTTTTGTTGAGTGCTGAGTGTAGCATTACCTTTTAGACTATGTTACGGTCACTTCTCACTATGTTGTGGTTTTGTCTTTTCCACATATTAGGAAGCTGTAATTTAATGAAACTCTTTTATTTTAAATTGCCTCCACTTGAGAGAAGTGGGATTTGTTGGAATGTAATTTTGAAATTACTTTGTAAAGCATCTTTCTAACAACTTCTCAACCTTCCTTTTTTGCGTAAAGGAAAGTACTACCCACTACAGGCTTAAATTCCCTTTTTTATTCAACTTCAAGGCAAGTTACTATGTTCTATCCCACCTAATGGTAGATTGTCTTGCTACCTTTTCGAATTTGTTGGACGGTTATGTTGTAGACTTTTAAATGGAAGTAAATGTAAATAAACTCATGGCTTTAGGAAAGGATGCAACTTCATTTGATTTTTCATTACAACAACATGGCATAAAGCTTCATCCAAGTTCTAGGAGTCAAATAATTCCCACTTCATTTCAACTACGAAAGGACCATCCTTATTTTCTTAACCTTCTTTCTTTGCCCAAGCCTACCGTATCCATCTTTGTAGTTTCTTTAAAATGATTACTTGTATTCTTTTATTGTTACAATTTATCCATCGTAGCTCTTTCTTTGTTATTTGATTCAATTTTCTTGATAATTATTCTTTTTGTCAGGTGATGCCTTGATGATAAGGACAGTTGGCCTATAAATGCTCCAAAAAGTCCCACAATACACAAAATATGTTAGGAATATATGTTCTGCTATTAGGATTGTTGTGTGCCGGAAGATTCATGGCGGTAGAGTGATAATTTAACGCCTCTCACATACTTTGATCAAGTAAGAATGAGAGATCAAAACATACATCCCACTATAGTCACTAAAATTCATATGTTAATTCCCTGAATTCAATGAGATTTTGGCTCTGTTTGGGCAGCGTTGGCGGTGCGGTGCAGTTTGGACCGCATCGCCGAGGTGTTTGTAGTTTTGCCTGCGCTCTCAAGAATCTGCTGTGGAAATGCTTCGTTTTGCAACCGAAAATGGCTAAGTGTGATGACTGCCAGAAAGTTGTGGTTTGACTTTTTGAAAATAAAAGAAATTTTGTAATAGCCACCACAACTTCTTCTGTATCAATTTCACAACTACTTGAAACAACTGTAGCTGTCCCAAGCGCAGACCCTCAACAACAATTTAACCACAATATAACTATATGCATTTTTGTTTCATAAAACAAGAGGCCAACCACATCAATCTATGGAATAAACAATGCATCAATCATAAGGAATGAGAGATCTTATTTATTTATTTATTTATTCTAGTGATTGTGCATCCCTGAAGTTGAACAAATCATAGATTCTATATGCGTAAAGTTTTACAGACCTTTTTGTCAACACAGTCTTTTTCGATGACACATCACGTGCCACTTCCACCTCCTGTGGCAGACTATTTTCGACATATTTGTTAGTGCCCCACCTTGTCCTCACCTTATGATGCATGCCTTCACCTTGATCTTTGCTGCATAAATTTCTGTTTTTCTAGCAATTAGATATATGTGGTAATGAACAAGTGAAAAATAGAGTTCTCAATGATTCTTTAGGGACGTGAGGGACAGTATGGTGAGATGAAGGACATGCCAATGAGGCTAGTTGCTGGAAGGTAGATGACAGCATGATAAATGAAGTAAAAGAGGTCTTTTGATTTGGATGAGTCTCTTTTCTGGTGCGGAGGGGGTTGGTTGTTGTCATGGAGATGGATAAGGGCTATGGTTGCTCAAATTTGAAATGCAGGCAAAATAAGGGTTTTGAGGGTGTTTTTAATGCCTCAAAATTTTATTGAGATAATTACATACAGACCACCTGAAATATTGATATTTACAAATTAATCACCAAGTGATCTTTTTGAACTACTAAACCGATGTATTTACGTGTGCCACGATCAATCGATGAAAATTTGATAAAAATGAAAATATGGGTTGGGGTTTTACCGTAAATTTTGATATTTGAGTGAGAATTTTAAAAATAGTGAAAGAAGGTGGTTGATGATTTATAAATAGCAAGTTTCGGGTTGTCTGTAATTAATTGGCCAAATTTTATTTTGTATTCTTTGAGCTTTAAAATCAAACATGCAAAAAATAATATTAATAAAAAAAACCAAGTGCATGCAAAAGGAATTTTTTACAATGAAATTCACACCCTATCATATGCTCCACCTTGAGTCCATTAGGAACCATAGGATGCTGTCAAGTTTTTTTCAAAATTATCTCTCTTTCTCTGTCTCTGTCTTCATTAAGCACAAGGCAACATACAAAAATGAGTGTTATGGCATGTTTGTGTAATGGTAGCTTCTTAGTAAGGGTATTTGTTTCCTTTTGTACAACTGTCTGTGTGACCATTGAAGTCAATTGAGTCGTGACTTCCATAATTTAGCTTTTTCTTTTTATTTCCAGAAGTAATTAGTCATGGAGACTTGTGTGCTCAATGGCATTGTAATTACTATACATGGTTTGATGTGGCACTAATAATCTACTAGAAATAGGTACCTTTATGGTTTCTAAGAAAACTAATGTCCTCTCATCTATAATTAAAAATAAAGAAAGGACTAAAGATTTTAGAAACTTGTAGTAGAAGCGAACACTACAAAGATCATAACTTCCCAATGATACTTCATGTTAGAGAAGACTCATTGTGAAAGCACAAAATAGGTGATCCTGCCCTTGAATTTTGGAATCTAAATGCTGTTTAGTGGCTTAGAGATTATTTGGACGCTGGCGGAATTCTACATCTTCCTGAAACTTGTCATGGAAGAAATCCATTAGCTCATTTGCTCATAGGAATGACAATAATTAGGAAGATAAGAGAACACTCGAGAACCTATTGAAGACAGTTATTTGCTCAACATGTTGATGCATCTATTCCGAATCCATTATTATAGGTAGGACTTGCTATCCCTCACCCATTGAGTTGTACTGATCGAGACTCCAAAGAAACTGTTACTGAAGTTCTCTTTAGTTTGCTCCCTGAACTGAACTAGAGATTCACACGTGCTCCAAACTGTGGTTATCGAAGGCCAGGAACAAGAATGATGCTGCTGTCCACCCAGCTGGGCTTTATTTCTGGTCACTTGGACCCAAGAAATGGATTGTTTAATTTCTTCATCCACTGCGTTGCACCTGGTCCAGATGATTTCTTGCCATATTAATGCTGGCTGAAATCCTTTTGGACAAGCACCTCAGATTCCTCCTAGGCCAATTTCTGCCACCAGATCCTTCCAGCAGCCGACATTGCTACTGGCAAACTTGGATGGTCATCAGAGATGGCACTAGAGCGCCGACAATCGATTGTTGTGGAGTCCCACACTCCATTAAGATCTTCACTTATTGCCTCTCCAAAAAGAGGGACTACTCCCTAAAATCAGTAAAACCTGAGGCAACACTAAAACAAAAGCTGAATTCAACTTAGGGGAATGGTGTTATTTCTCATTATAATTATGTTATACAAGAATTCTTAAACCCCTTTTGTGAAATCTTGACCCAACCCCACCCCCCATCAAAAAAAAAAAAGAACTTGATCACACCTGTAGATTTTTTGAAAGCTAATATTTCACGGCTGTCTACTAGAAAATTTATAGCTTGTTAACCCAAATACTTGTTGAGCTTTACAAGGAGTATACAACAACAAACCTGTTGTTTTTGTCCGTTTATCAATTTTGTATTAGTCTCCATGATGTCTTGTTGTTTCTTAGTAATGTAGACCAGCAGACCCATTGCAATTAAAACATCCGGATTTGACACTGCCATTTTTGTTCTTTTCTATATTCTATTCTTTTGCATGTTAGATGAAAGATATCTTAACTTTTACGTTTCAGTATTACATAATCATATATTTTATAGAATCTAGAGTATAAATATTATGTTTACATCCATATAAATCATGCAAACCTTTATTTGTTTTCTTTTACTAATCCCAAGTCATTATAAGTTTGTAGTCCATGAAAATGACAAAAATAGCAACTCTTTGAGAATATGAAAAATGATGCATCTTTCTGTAGATTTGTAATTTTGTTACTATTGTTTTTAAATCTAATATCAGTTTATTTTTAGTGCTATTTTTGTAGCAGTTATTGCAGTACTTGTTGCACTTGTTTCTTCCAGTCCAACTAAAGGATGGAGCGGGCGGAGCTTGAGCCTGCTTGACCCGTAAGAATCCTTTTGTTTACTTTCATGATGGTTGTTTCTCTTAGTTCAACTGTTGACGTCCATCATGGAAATCATTATTCATGATTGTTTAATCAAGACTAAGTATTTGTGTGCCTTACAGTACTTGGCGGGCTTTATGTGCATCGGACAATCATCTTTTACTTGCTATTAAAATGAAGATTATAAAGTAGAAAGACAAATGATAACTACTTTTGTATGTTCTAGGTAAAATCATTTTTTGGAAGTGCGAAGTACGACGTCTTAAATTTTATGCGGTGGAATTGTGATTACCTCAATTTATACATTGACATTGATGACTTCGATTCATGTTTCATCTAGAAGTGACATACCTAAATTTGATGCACGTAAATTAATGACGATGCATGGCCTTGATATTGATTTTCTTATGACAAATTCTTCTGCAATATAGTGGATGCTTTTTACCATTCAAGATTGCATTTAGGGCCGTAAAAAAGGCTCGTTGTTCGTGAGCAATTTGTGTTCGACTCGTTAAGAACTTCGCATTTGATTCGTTCACTAATCAAACTAGCCAAACACAAACCAAGATTTGTTCATTCGTGTTTGGTTTGTTTTGGCTCGAACTATATATATATATATATATAATTGATGAGTAGTTCTTTTAAATAATTTAATTGACTACAAGGCTACAAAGATTTATAATTAGTTTAAATTATTAATTAAAAAATAAAATAAAAATATTTTAAATTATATTTAAATGATGTTTTAATATAAATAATAAGATTTAAATCTCTCCCCAACCCTTAGCATCCTACAACTGTGTGACTCTAGGGCTGTCCAATGATTCTTTGTTTGCGAACAGCTCGTGTTCGGCTCGCTAAGCAAATGAATCGAGCACGAACAAATTTTTTGTGTTTGAAACATAAATGAGTAGAACACGAACAATAGTTTTTTTTAACGAGTCGAAAATGATCTGAGCTTGGGCTTGCTCGTGTTCGGCTCGTTTATACCCCCAATTGCATATGATGATTTAATTTACAAAATATTGTGTTCTCAATGTGGGATTCAGGAAAGCTTGACTAGAAAATGGAGTTTAGCAGAAGAAGAATTTTGATTGTTTTTGTAGGGTTTATATCAATTAGAGTGAAGTGCATAATTGTTTTACTTGACTTGGGATTTTAGAAAACACTACTATAAAAGGTTAAACAACTCAAGCCATGCTTTCCAGGTTTAAACTTATAAAAAACAAAAGGTTTCAAGCTCTTTTTTTTTCTTTTTTTTTCTGTGATTAAATCCTGTAAATTTCAGATGATATCCAAACAAAAGCAGTAGATTACCATCATTAACCAATAATGATAAATTTACAGCCACAGACTAGATGAAGTAAGATAAACATCCACTAAATCCAAAGTTAATGATTAAACAAGCACTGATTTCTGGCCCACAATATTTTATGTACAATATTGTTGCAGTATTAAGCAATACTTCATTCATATGAGTAGTTGCGAAATAAGTCACCACCAATCCATAATCTCATGAATACCTGATGTTTGAATAATGAAATTATCGCTCCAAAATGGTGTAACATACTTGGCGAAGAATTAGAATCTTATAAGAAGTGAAATAATATGCACCTCAAAAAGCGTATTTTATTCAAGCTTAACTATTACTCTTTTACTTGCCTCATAATTACTATTTATCAATCTCACAAGACACTAAATAGGATACAATAGGACTGCTAAAGAAGAGTTATGGGGAGAAATCATAGAATCATATTTTTATAAAAAATAGCATTTAGGTATACAGACAAACTCTGCAAAGAGTGTCATAGGAATTGTTCATATAGAAGCCGAAGAAAGCATAGCCAAAGCAACCAAAACCATAGAAAGCGGCCCTAAAATGCTTGTAGGGATAGTCTTCTAAACAAATGAAACTAAAACTTGAGATGTGATTAGGTTGTGCTAAAAATAGGAATATGCTTCGTCATTAACATCATCATTAAGCTTATCCGGAATATTTATGTTTTGCTTTAATATCGCTAGTCATTTTTACTTTGAAAGCCCACCTTTGGGCATGCTATTTTCGGGTCATCAGATTGATTATTTTAAAGTTCAATTTTAGTTGAGGTGGAGGTAGCTCCAACTGAACTAGCTACCGTTCCCTTAGATTTATAGGCAATATCTAGAAAAGGTTCATGTCAGCTATAACCTAAAATATTTTTTTCCCAATTACTATTTAACTTTAGTCTTTTTCTTACATTGTTTTGGTGATTCATAATTTATATTTATTTTCTTAGTTCTATAGTAACCTATGTCTAGTATTGTAATGTTACTTTTTTTATTGGTGCTGCAGGACATATGCAAGCAAGTACATACCCATCATTGCTAGTGTTAGTGAACATCAACCACCTACATGGCCTTCATATTTCATGGATATTAATATATTGGCATTCTTAGTTCCAGCTGGCATCGTTGTAAGTGTCGTAGATGTCTGCTTAGAGTATTTGTTTGATATTCTTTTGGTCCCCTATTTTAAGATTATTGGCATTTATATTGCATGATTTGTGGTACTTCAATTTTTTAAAAGTAGGCTGATAAAATTAATATGCATAATTAAAACTCGAAATAATTCAAAATATTGAAGAAAATAGAATTTTGATAATTTAAAAGGTCCCACTTTTGAAATGGAAATCAGAAGGAAAAGAGAGAACAACTTAATATTAGTTAAATTGGAGGCCTAACAGTGTAATGCAATAAATTGCATTCTTGTAATTCATAAATAAATTAAGAGAAAAAATATCATGATACTTTACATTGACATTTTTTCTTAAATGATGAAACTGAAGCATGGACTCTGCAATATAAAGATTCTATAGTACATTGCCTATGTTCAAATTTAAATACATAAAATTTACATGCAAATGGCGAAACCATGCTTAAATCTGTGGTGCTCTATTCTTTTGTAAGCCGCTAACTACGTGCATCTCTTTATTTAAGACTCATTTTCTTTCCCTCCCTTGCTTCCAGGGACAGCTAATGATTTTTTCATTTATCATAAATTTTATTGTGGTTAAAAGCACATTGCATCTTCTCTTTCAAGTATGGGAACGCGATTCTCTGCACTGTATACTGTATAGATTACCGTCTTAGAAGATGCAGGTTGGTACAGGCCTTCTTTTTATCATTTTAAAGGCAGCAGAAAATTAAAGGTCTTTTGTTACCAAACCCAACAAAGTCAAATTTAACTTTTGCACCATGAATTGGTGTCATTCCATTTTTACTATTCAATGATGTTGTTGGTAGCAAGTTTTCCCAACTTAATTGTGAAGAGAACACAATCCAAACATCCTTTCTATTTTTTTTTTTTGACTTCTATTGATGTGTCAGTACATTATATTCCAACTTACTATTATGTTATGTCATACCACAGTCAACCCCTTTAGGTTAAATAGAGGGTAACAGAAGAGGGTGACGAGGTGACTAAACCAAACTCAATTTCCATTGATACTCATCTTTACTTGCGCTTATCAAAATCAAGTGAGTGAAAAATTAGTCTTATTAGCTCATCACAAAGCAAACATTTATATTTCAATTCTTTAATTAGTTCTTTGATATCATACATAAATAAATGTGTGTATAAAAAATTCTCAAGAACATTTAGAATTTCTAAAAATACTTTAAATATAAAATCATAAGTATTCAAAAAAACCTTATATAAATTTCCAAAATTATATAATCAAAATTTTTACAAAATTGTAGATTGCCTTGCTAATGGTCGATTTGCTCATTGCACCTCACTGGAAATCAACATAATTATGTCGAATGAATCACACTTTCAATGATATAAACAATGCTTGAATAAGATTCAAATATTTAAGGAAAAATATAACATGTATGCTATAGTAATAAATAAACATACGTGACACCAATTTAGGGTTTCTAGATGGTGTAGTAGGATCAAGGGATGGGTCAAATGTTGGTAGGAAAATTAACTAAGACAAAAACAGGTGTGAATAGCAGTTGATGGTATCCGAACGATTGGAAGAGATCATCTTTATTCAATCAGGCTCTAAGCACACCACTTGAGAAAAATCAAGGATACAACTCTCCAAACAGAGTAAACTAGAGGAAACAACCTTTATTGCATATTTGAAAAGCTTGAAGTCCCAAAATTAGGTTATGAGAAACATATTTATAATACGAGGAGATAACGAGGGTTTAAGAAACATACTTATACTACAAGGATTTAGGAAACATACTTATTTTACTTAACCCTACTTCTAAATAAAATACATTAAAAAAGGGACCCCACAAGGGCTGACGGTAGCAAACATGCGGGAAAATGCCTCCACAGGTATTTCATGGAATGGAATCATGGAAAGCTTGTCTCGTTCGATCTTGCTTGTGCAGGTTTGCATACCTCAGCATATGCTGCCTACTTGTTTGTTTTCGATGTCGAACTTGCTATCCAACTATCGATCGTGCCTGTTTTTAGATGCCACTATCATCTTTCTCTTTGTTCCCCTTCCTACCAATATTCAGCCCATCTTTAGATCCTTCCATACCATCTAGGAACCTAGATCGGTGGCATTACTTAGATACTCAAATAGTAAAGAAAATATACTCATAAGCAATAGAAACAACAATTTTGTCATAAGTGAACTTAATTATTACCGAATAAGCCATTTAAGTCACTATGCTATGCAATGTCATATATGCATATTTAATTCACTCCTGATTTTATGTTTTATTTTCAAGCTTCTCTCTCAAAAATATCATATTAGTTTTGCATAGATTTTGATATATTGTAATTTAATTGGGTCATCACCCAACCTCTCGGTCATTACAACGGCTAAGGAAAGTTGGTTGTCCAACCTTATGCTTTATCAACACATTCCTTATACCAATTGGTCCGCTCAAACTTTAATATCAACGGTAGAGAATTAATCATTTTTCTATTCAGGCTTATCTAGTTAAAACTTCTAATTCTTGTTTTCCTTACGCAAAGTCATTAATATAGCTGTCTGTCTATCAAAATAATATATGATATTTCCTCGATTATTGTTACATGTTATAATTATTTTTATATTCATTCATTGCTTTACGTGAATTTTCTATGAACAATCAATTTTTTTAATATGCACAAAATGTATAGTGTGACAGGTAATAATCAACAGCTTACACTTAATATTGCACTTTTATAATAGTGATGTAAGCATGAAATGTGCAGGTAATCATGTACATACTCATGTACCGTGATCAAATGTGCTTAATACTAAAGAATTATAAATGCAAACATAGAATAAGTAAGGTATACCAATGTGTAGTCGCAAATATCAGCCCTACAGACATTGTTTTTTGATTTAGCAATTGAATATCTCCCTTCGATTGTTGGGCCAATCTCGCAATGAATGTCTTCCCTAGGCTTCAAACTTACCTCTTTTTATAAATAACATAAAATCACTATTTATTTTGAATTTATATACTTCTTAAATTAATGCTCATTTCGACATAAACATACTTTTAATTTGATATTTTACCTCGAAAAATTTCTCTACATATATACTTGTTCCCTTTCTATCCTTGTACTATATTCTTCTTCCTTCACAAATTTCTATCACCAACCGCCCAAAATTTAGTCCCTGATTTGGCCAGCTGAGATTCAATAAATAAAAAATGAAGGATAATTTAAGGAATTTTGGTATCAAGTAATTAAATATAAGTGAATATATATATCTTACATCCAACCTCTAATGGCATCCCTATTTCTTGGTTTCACCTACACAGCCACTTACCCAAACATAACAGCTGCAGATTATCGAAAGTTGGAGAAGAATTAAAGGACGTTTCTTAGCTTAATTAAACATAAACACAAGAGTTCATGTATATATATATATATATATATATATGCAAATTTTCTTATCTTATCACTTCCAACTCCTCTCCAAAATCGTCCATTTTTCCTTGCAATTTACTACTCCTGGCCTGCAGCTTTCATCCTTTTTCCATTTCCAGCTTCTAAACCCAGAGAAATTATTGATGCATCTGTGTTCCAAATCTCAATCGCAATTTGGCCAGGTCACGCGATAGGAAGCTACAAGAGAGGCAGATAGAAGAAAATAGAGAGCTCAAGTGATTATAATATAGATAACTTGATTTTTCTACATTTAATCCTCATCCTCAGTTTCATCCGCCTGTTGCATGCTGATATTGGTGGGTTTGCTACAGTAATCAATTTCATTAAACAGTAATTAATTTAATATAATAGTGACATTAAGTTATAATTAATTGATTTTTTAAATTTATTTTAGGAAATTAAATATATTAAAAATTTATATAAATTTTTCATAAAAATAATCAAATGAAGTATATACTTCTATAACAATATTTTGAGAAGTTTTTAAGGATACAAAAATGGGTAAATTTTAAAATAAATTTTGATTCCCTTTTTGGTCAACCTTACCATTTTAGTTCATTTGATTTTTTTTCCATGATATCAAGACTTATGCTTTTAACCATCCATGTTTTCCTGTTTATGGATTGCAGGCATGCTTCTTACCGCTATCTGATGCCAGCTCTTTTGTAGTGCTGTACCTTGTTACTTCTGTTTATTTTTCTGGTGTTATGGTGAGGAGGTTATAAATAATAGTGAATTAGCCTGCTTATTTTGTTTGCTTCAGTTTTTCTTTTTTTTCATGAATTATTGAAATCATACAACAGGTTCGACTTATGCTCGTGCTAGCTCCAGCTGCATGCATCTTGTCTGGGATTGCTCTTTCAGAAGCTTTTTTTGTTCTGACACGATCTGTTAAACTTCAGCTAGTCAAATTATTAGAGGGGCCGCCCCTTTCCAATGTAATTAATAGTTAGAGCATGTACTTACATAACACACAGTTTTTATGTATTTACACATCTCACACCTAATGACAAATTTACACACATAGCATTCAAATCTTTAATATCACATCAAAAATAACACTATTACCACTTCTCAAATGCGAGGTTTAAAACATTGAAGTGCTATGTATGTAAATATGAAAATTCAGGTGAGATATGTAAATACACAAGAATTGTGTGCTAGGTATGTATATTTCCCTTAATAGTTTTCCTTTTAACACATTTTTCTTGGAGATCACTTACAATGATGCAATGTTTCCATAGTTGTTTTAATTCATATCCGTAATTTTACTTTCAAGGCAGGGGATACCAAAGGTGAGAGATCTGCAGCTCAAAATGATGTACCGAATGCAAATAAGCAGGATTCTTCCAATAAAACCGAAGATATTAAAGATCGTCCGTCAAAAAAGAACAGGAAGAAGGAGAAGGAAACCATTGAGAAGGCTCCTGTCAAATCTAGAAATGAGAAGAGGCTTCTGGTTTTGCCGCTTGAGGCATCTGCTGTTGCGATTCTTTTGTTAGTTGTGCTTAGTGGTCTTTATGTGGTATGTAAATCCTTCCACATCCACTCCGGCGTATCCACACCAACACATGGCTTCTTTGTACTGAAAATGTTATCCTTTGAATTGTCTTTATTTAGGAAACTCGATGGATAAACTATTTCAAATAGAATAAAGGGTCAAAATAATCCCGTGTTATTTTAATCTTAATGTCTATAAAAGTATCAAATAGTCCCCATTTTTTTTTAATATGGGCTGAAATAGTCCCCATATTTTAAATATGGGCTGAAATAGTCTTCAATGAGGACTATTTTAACCCCCATTGGAATAGTAGAAGTACTAAATTGACACTTTTATTGACTTTAGGACTAAAATGACCCCCTGCAAAGATTCAGAGGACCATTTTGACACTTTTCTCATTTCAAGTATTTATTAAGATTCTTCCAACAGGGACATTTTCATCCAAAATCAAGATGATGCTAAGGTTTTGTGAAGTTTCTAAGCGTCAGAATTAACTGGCATTGTATGAGAGCTAGCTTTATTAACAATTTTTTTTTAGTAAGTTACATTATCATTCGATGAAAGGAGCACAACACAAAGCAAAAGCAAATCTTTCTGGAATAAAAAAAGCTAACAGATGACAAATGAACCAAATCTTTCTGGAATAAAGAAAAGCTAACAGATGAAAAATGAACCAATAATTAAAGAAAAAGCCCCATGGCTTATTTAATATCGTCTAACTTGTTGCCTTGAATTTTTTGCATGGTAACAGTATATTTCCTTTTTTTTTTCCCTCCTGGCATATAGAATTTGAAACTTTTTGTCTGCAACCTCTTCTGTAGTAGAAACAGTAGCAATAGAGGTAACAAAAAGAGAATCTGGGTCAACCAAATCCCCAACTTCATGAACATCATCAGTGAGTACGCGTGCAGTCGATCATAATTCTTGGGTTATCAACTTGAATAGGTACTAATTCCAAGACAGGTTCGAAACTGGAATCTAAGTTTTGAGTGCACTTCAAATCAGAAGTGAAAGAAATTCCCGTCATTGCATTAGAGAGATTATTATATCACATGAAATATCGACACTGCCCTGATCTTTAGGGATTTCTTCAATTTTTTGTGTGCCTTAAAATAAGTTTTGGCTAAAGATTCTATAAGAAAAACAATGAAGAGGTGCTGACATAGATGTGATTCAAAATTCTTTCTCTAAAAGGGAAGGAACTTTTAATTTGACCCAAAACTTAGCAACAGTCTATTGAAGAACTTTGGCAATTGCAGCATCGACTTGAAATGCTGTATAAAAAATGGATTTCTCTACCATTTTGTTAATCCTTATACATTATGACTTCCACAGTTGCCTTAAGTTCGCCAATTGTTGTGTGTCTTGATGGATCTCTCTGCATATCTATGAATTCCTCATTTTCTCTATGCAATATTTTTTTTAATCAAAACTCTCAACTTAAAATAATTTTGAGGGCATATAATCTGTAAACCCTCCCAGAACCTAATTTGCAGGAAGTACTGTATTGATCTCTCTTCGTATGTTTCTAACCTCACATCCTCTGTTTTATTGCCTCGCCCTTACCTAGCTAGGTATTTAATCCATATGTAATTGTTTAATTCAAAATGTAAGCCTTGAAAAGAAATTCATTTGTTCACGCAGCAACTAAAAACCAGTCTATTTGTTTGATGTTTGGTTCTTTCTTTTATCTTGAGATGAATTTTTCATTGATTTTTCCGATTTATGAAGCTCTGTTAATTTGATTTGTCTTTTTTATTTTAAAAAAACTCATATTTGATGGAAGAATATAAACGCCAATGATTCTTAACTATATTTTCCATTTGAGGTCAACTTAACCTGATGGCTATCTCTGTGCTCTTGTCGTCATCTACTCTCTTGCGTCCTGCTATATTTTCTTCCCCAAGTTCTATTGCAAGCATAGCCAAATTTGTTTAACTATCGCCATGTCAAAAGAAATGTAACCTATTAAGTTCTTCAACTACAAGCCCTATGAACTTTTTTATATCTTTTTCAAATTAATTAAAAATTTGATACTATGCAGATGAATGGTGAATGTTGTTTAGCCCTAGTACTCCAATTTTAAGAAAAATGGTTATTTTTATTCGTTGTCAAACTTTTTTTCCTTCTTCCGAATGAGGGAAAAAATTAAGTATTTTTTAATAAATTCACACAAAGAGATGAATCATTTGCTCTGTAGGTCTCCGTTCATGTTTACTTGAGGTCATGTTCAAATTATGAATTCAAACTAGCATCACATGCTGTGATTCACATTTTTAAGCAAACTTTTAAACATTTCTTTTGATCACTATCTCAAGTAAACATGAACTGGGAGCTATGGAGCAAACATTTTAAAAAGTGCCATGCGATGAAAATTTTTTCAATTCAGATTTTTATTCTGGCATTTTGTATTTGTATGAATTTTTATTTTGGCAGTTTGTATTTATATTTCCCATTCCATTTCCTAATTAATTCATTTATTTTTCTGTTCAGATTCATTGTGTATGGGCAGCTGCAGAAGCTTATTCTGCACCTTCAATTGTTCTTACATCTCGCTCACATGATGGGCTCCATGTGTTTGATGATTTTCGTGAAGCCTATGCATGGTTAAGTCATAATACTGAAGTGGATGATAAGGTGAGAAATATTACTCTATCTCTCTCTCTATGTGTGTGTGTCTTATCAAACTTTGTTATGATCTGAGTTCCATTAATATGTAATAAACATATTGTATTTCTTTCCCCAAAATACCCTCTTTGTAAAGTATGCAGGCTGAGGGCAAGATTGTAAAAATGGTCAAGCGCCAAAATAGTCCCAGAGTTTACAAAAAATGTCAATTTAGTTCTCATACTTTTTTATTGTGGGCTGCAATAATCCTCATAGACACTGTTGGTACTATTTCTTAGCCTGATTTAAAAGTCTAAGGTCTAATTTGGTACTTTTATAGACTTTGGGACTAAAATGACCCATGTAAACAGTCAGGGGACTATTTTGACACATTACTGATCGTAAAATATATTTTTCTTGTCTGAAAATTCTAAAAAAACTGTTTCTGAAGAATTCAGGACAATCTTTTTATTTACATGGATACCACCAAATGAAATGATGACACTATTACTCCATACTATCATGTGAAAACGTATATCTATATTCTTCCTACTTTTCTATTTGTAGGTGGCATCATGGTGGGATTATGGCTACCAAACCACGGCAATGGCCAACCGGACTGTTATCGTTGATAATAATACGTGGAATAACACTCACATAGCCACTGTTGGTACTGCCATGTCTTCACCGGAGAAGGCAGCCTGGGAAATTTTCCAGTCTTTGGATGTGAAATATGTTCTTGTTGTCTTTGGAGGTAAGTATTAGCTGAATACATGGAATGTAATTTTAATAGTATTAGCTCTAGTGAGAGAAGTGTAACTTTGGGTGATCAAAGAAGGTGTGAACGATTTAGATATCTCAGGTTTATTGTTCCAAGCGATGGTGATATAGATGGGGATGTTATTAGTAGAATTCAAGTTGATTGGTTGAAGTGAAGGAATGCTTCAGGCCTATTCTGTGATAAAAAAGTACCGCTTAGATGAGAATGTTGGCCTTTAAAAGAGAACATAATACTAAGTTAAGTGTTGCCGAGATGAGAATATGATTAGGTGGATGAGTGACTTTACACTTAGACAAAATGCGAAATGGTTATATCCGTGATAGGGTTGGTGTTGCTCAGTGACGGACAAAATGAGTGAGAGTCGTCTTAGATGGTTTGGTCACATTAAACGTCAACCATCTGATGATCTGATTAGGAGAGCAGATGTTTTAGATTCGACTTTTGTTAATTGTTAAGAAAGGCAGGCAAAGGTAGACCTAGGAAGACTTGGGCTTATTGTATAAAAAATAATTATAATTTATTAGAATTAAATGAAAATATGACACTAAATAGGGCACAATGGATAAAAATGATTCATGTAGCCGACCCCATTCAGTGGGATTAAGGCTTTGTTGTTGTTGTGGTCTTTGGAGGTAAGTGCCTTATGTAACTTTTGAGTAGATATGTTACCTAAGGGTCCATTTGGCATCATTTTTACTATTATTATTTTTTCTCTTTTATATTTTGAAATAAGTTTGGCTGATATAATATATATATATATATATGTTTTTTTAGAAAACAATTCTGTTTTTTCTTAAGAACACTAAAAACACTTTTAAAAAAATGTTTCAATTATTTTTAAAAACAATTAACTCAGTCAAACAAATTTTAATTTAAATCAGAACTTAAAAAACAAAATAGAAATAAAAAATAAATAAACAAAGTGATCCCAAACAGCCCATAAATTCTGAATCTTATTTTGTTTCCTGTAACCAGGCCTTGTTGGGTATCCAAGTGATGACATCAACAAATTTCTCTGGATGGTTCGCATTGGAGGAGGAGTTTTTCCACATATTAAAGAGCCTGATTATCTTGTGAGTTAATTCTATTCAATTTAATATTTTTCTGACTCCCTTTATTGATTGAAAATTCTATCTTCATAGTCCATTTGAAATAAGTGTCAAAATAGCTCTCAACTCTTTGTAAGTTGTCATTTTATTTCCAAATTCTATAATAGTGTCAATTTAGTCCCTAGATTTTTTAACATGGCTTTAAAATAGTCTTATTGGGGGGGGGGGGGGGTTTTTTTTATTAAAAGTGTCTAGTGACTAATTTGACACTTAGAAATTTTGGGACTAAAATGACTATATGTAAATAGTTAGGGGACTGTTTTGGCACTTTATTCCATTTACTTATCCTGAAGCTGGAATTATGGTGCTGTGATAGAGGGATGGTCAGTATCGTATTGACGCCCAGGCCACCCCAACAATGTTGAACTGCCTTATGTACAAGTTATCATATTACAGGTTTGTCGTCTCTAAGAATTTGAGGTTAGAATTCAGTATGATTCATTGGATCTTAACAGTTTCGCTGTTATTGTTATTTTGTTTCCTTTGTAGATTTGTTGAAACGGATGGCAAAGGCTTTGATAGAGTGAGGAGGACAGAAATCGGAAAGAAGCATTTTAAGTTGTCCCATTTTGAGGAGGTGAGTTCTACTACGCCTTCCCATTAAGGATGTAACTGACATGTGAGATGACTCGGCCTTGGCTCTCGATAAAACGGCATCTGAGTTTATTAGCTCATGAGTTAATAAAGTAAAATTTGAGCCAGCCATGACTCGAATCATTTGTGTGTGATCCAACTTGTTCAAAAATTATTAATATAAAATTTATTTGACTTGAAGATTTTATGTCCAAAGTTATTAAAAATACTTAAAATTCATTCCTTTTTGCTTACCTCAACTAATTTATTTTTTATTAGGTCCCAAAATTCTCTTCTTTTTTTTTTTACAATATTGTGACACAACTGCTTGATGTATAGTCATCTACTCTCTTTCATAATAAATGAGACTGCTCTTTAAATTCAAGTCGTATAATTTTGCTTGAATTTGATTAATTAGCCATGTCCAAGCTCAAGCTTGGAGTGGCTCCGGATCTAGACTCGTTTGCACCCTTACTTCGCATTCATGCATACCTTAAGAACTCGTGTCAATGTACAATACAAAAATACTAGTCAGCCTTTCAGGTGTCTTTTCGAATTTTACAAGTGAGCATAACAAATTCCTGCATATATATTAGGTGGAAAATTTGTAGAAGTTGTGTCGCCTATCACGATTCTTTGGTTGGCAAAATTTGTAGGACCCCTGGGGTTACAAGTTTGATCCCATTTATATGCGGAATGAAATTTTTATGCACATAAGGTCGGTCATGAGACTCATCTAGTAGCCTCTGACCAATCTTTTAATA